TCCTTTTTTTGGAAGAGTTTCTGTGTAGTGCTGGCTGTCCTTTAATTTACTCAGTAAATCAGGCTGGCCTCAAACACTAGAGATCTGCTGCCTCTGCCTCCTGAATGCTGGGATTAAAGGTGAGCGCCATTATACTCAGCTAAGACCTTGTCTCAAAAAACAAGCAAAGCCACCATTTGGCTTTCTTACCGTGGGACCACAAGGTCCTTGCACAGCAATAGAATATGAGTTTCCTAAGAAATCCTAAGAGATCCAAGATCTCTCAAACTAATGCTTTTGGGTCCACTTGCTTTTGCAAGTGTCTTTCAGTAGGTAAAGACACTTGCAACCAAGCCTGACAGACAACCTGAGTTCAGTTCCTAAGACCCACAAGGCAGAAGAGACCCAGTTTCCCCACATATCATCCTTTGACAGCCATACATGCTCACACAACCACACACAAATGCACAAAACAAACAAAAACAACCTGACTGGGTCCAGCTAGTCTACATTTTCTAGGTGCGGACAGTGCGGACTGTCCTGCCATAGTGGGAGGAAGTCTGAGGCTGCTCCTTTGTGGCACAGCCTGGGTCAGCTAAGCAGGTGGAAGCCCAGGCCGGAGACTCTGGCAGGGAGTCCTACTGGGCAGGCTATACCTTGGTATTGCCAGAGCCAGGAGAGGTATTGAGCTCTGCAGACACTGACCACCTCCTCCAGAACGCCAATTCAAATGGTGAAGGACACTGTTCTAAGTCTTTGTCCCTGGGACTACAGATCAAAGAGGCTCAGAGCATAAGGCTCTGGCTAGATTACTCCAAGTTCAGCACTAGGAGAGACCCTGGAGACTCCCCACCTAGCCTGACACCCGCTGTTTGCTGGGACATGGCGCCTCGGGAGAGGCAGAGGGATCTGGATGTGTAGACAAGGACAGTGAGTCTGTGGAAAGTCACGGCCACAGTGGAGCCAGGGCAAACCTTCTGGAGTTTTGTGGAAATGTGGCTGGGCCTCAGTGAAGGCCACTGAGACCTGAGAAACTTAACCCCAAAGTCCTTAAGGGAAGATAGCCCACTACATCTATTCCTTCATCCACACAAGCAGGAAACAGTATGGACTGTGCAACTCTCAGGATACAAAAAGCTAGGCTGCCCTGAGGCAGGGGCAGATCCAGGCTCTGGCCCCCCAGATAATCCCTATCCTCACCTGTGAGGGGCACCAGGGTTACTTTAGTTTGAGGGGGAGTCTGAGGGGTCCTGGGGAGTGGAGAGAGGAACAGGATGGGCAGGGGGGCTTGAAGTTGCCATTCTGTGTGTGTGCAGCTGTCCGTCAAAACCAGCTTCCTCTCACACTCTTCTAAAAACATGCCCATGACTGCCTCCCCCCTCTGTGAAGGGACAGATGTCGGGGGAAAAAAGCTGATTATTGTCAAAGGCTGGAGGCTGTGACCGGAGTGCTTGGTGAGCGTGACCCAATTCTGAGCTATTCTCAGCCTGGTGGGAGCCAAGTTATTCCCTCCCGCTGAAGATCCCGCCTTGGAGGCAGCCTGACTTTGAAACGCCCTCGTCCTGGCAACAGACTCAAAGCAGGCTGTCCAGGCTGCTCTGCATGGATGCGGTCCTGTTTGCTGATGACCCATGGGCAGAGCTCACAGACCCTGTGGCCTGGTCACAGGCTGCTGGCTTCTGCAGCTACATCCCAGGGCTAGGGAAGGGCAGAAAGGGCTTGCTCTTTTATCCTCTCAACCAGTGACCTGGTATTCCTTCTTATTCTCCAGGTCAGGCACAGGATCTGCTTCAACCAGGGACTAGTGGAGCATCTCTGGGCACAATGAGACCAAAGGCTCTGATGGCCCCAGTGCAGCTGGGCTGGGACCTGCTGTACCTAAACTCGTGATGCGGGCTGGCACAAGTCCCAGCAGGAGAGGCAGCCAGCAGCAGCAAGCTGACATGGGCTCTGCTCTACCCCAAGCCTCTCAAGAGCAGGTCTGTCTGCCGTTCTCACCCCTTGGGGGTTACTTGTTATCCAGCATATCCACAGCAGCAGCTAGGAAACTCCCTGGGAAAACTGTAGAGGTCAAGAGAGAGAGAGACTGCCTGCTCACGCCCAGCCCAGGCAGAGCTAGTCAGCTTCAACACAAGAAAAGCACAACCAACGCCCTGACTTTCTCTCCCATGGTCTCGATGACTCAAGGGCCCCAGAAGTGCACAGGTCATTCAGAGTGCCTGCAAGGGCTATTCTGCTGCCTGGAAGACAAAGGTACATCTCAGATGGACCAGAGATGGAACCCAAATTCTGACCTTAGATTCTCAAACAGATGGACGAGAGAGGGCTGAGCTGGGCACAGCTCAGCTGCTAAGGCATTTGTCTCATTGAATGCCACAATCAATCTGAAACTGACATTATAATCCCCATGCTAGAGAGGACACATGGGATTCCTGGGTTACTGGCCGGCCAATCGCACCAGATTGGTGAGCTCCAAATGAATGAGACCCTATCTTAAAGAAGGCAGGTGGTATTCCCAAATATACCTGTGGCTGTTCTCTGGCTTTCACACATACACACATACATGTACACATGCTCACAAACACACACATTTTTACTAATTTATTTTGCAGGGAGGGGCAGGGGTGCTTGTATGTCCCATGGTGCACATGTGGAAACGAGACAGAACTGGTTGTCTCCATCCACTATGTGGGCCCCAGGGATTGAAGTAAGATTATCAAAGTTTGGTAGCAAGAGCCTGCCTTTACCTGCTACTCCATCTTGCCAGTCCCTCACCCCCACCCCAAAGAAGAGCTTCTTCGAGCAGGCAGCAGTAATCAGTGGCATTTTGCAAGCTGACTGCCCCAATCAGTGACATGACACACTATATCCATAAGCCACGAGGCAGTCCCTGTCTCATCCCCACAGGGAGGTGACTCACCACCAACCTGGGGGTATATCAGAGACAGAGCCTAACCCCATCCCTGCATGCCCAAGGGCAGACTGCCACCTGAGCTCTGCTGCCAGGTCAACTCTATAACCCCGCAGTTCCTTCCTGGGGTGGTCTTTCCAAGCATGACCCACATAGCAGAGTCAAAGCCCTGCTTCTCTCTGTGGCTCATCTCTCCCGCTGTGTGTCTGGTTCAAGCAAGTCCAGCTGTGGACATTGGGCACCGACATCTCCCAGATGCTCCTGTGACCTCAGAAGCTTGGGCCTGATGGAGGCCCCTCCCTAAGGAATGAATCTCTTATTTAATTGGCCAAGCAAGAGTAGCCTAGGCTGGCCTCAAGTCCACAGGTTGTTCATCAGCCCGTCCCCTTTGGCCTTTGATGTACAAGCTGGGCATAGAGTCTTCCCACCTGTGTAGCATTTACAGTTGTTTGGCAGGGAGCACTTCTCCTGTGAGTCCCCTGGCAGTCTGCTTGCTCCCAGGATGAGGCAGGAAGAAGCAACAGTACAACGGTACAATGGTCAGGAGGTTCCAGGAGGCTGAGAAACCGTAAGAGTCAGAGGTGCACCCTGAACCTTGTACCACCCACACCTCTGGAGACCCAACACTAGATGGCAGGGCACAGCTCACAGGTGGCTGAGGAGGAGGTGTACCCCGTAGGAGAAGCTGACTCTCTGGGCCCAGGAGCTTGCAGCAGGTGAACCAGCACTGCACCTAGGGATGCATCCCGGGTCCCCTGGCTGGCGCTGCAAGTCAGCCTTTGGTCAAGGTGTGCTGCTGTCCTAATCACAGCACAGGAGGCTGAGCCCCGGGGACAGATGTGAGAGAGACCGGAGGGCCCCACACAGGAGTCAGGTGGCCACCCTGGATTGGCTAACCCTGGGACCTTTGTCTTGGGGGCTTCCATGCTGAGGCAACCCTCAGCCGACCAGCACAGTGTGGGGCAGAGGGTGGCTGAGCTGAACATTCCCGGGTGAAAGTCTGCTAAAGCAATCAAGAAGGGGTGATTTACCTATGGTGGCGCACACCTTTAATCCCAGCACTCAGGAGGCAGACAGACAGGCAGAGCTCTGATTTAAGGCCAGCCAGGGCTACACAGAGAAACCCTGCTCCAAAAAACAAACAAATACATGAGGAAGAATTAAGCCGAGCCTTAGAGAAATGAGATTCATGGCTAAGTTAAGTGCCGGGTAGAGATCCAGTCTGGGCCGGGCTCAGAGGTGAAGTGGGGTTGGGTTAGCCCCCCAAGACCCAGACTACAAAAACAGAATTTGGTTATCCCACAGGACTGTAGGCAGATTGGGTTTTTCCAGCCTTGGCCACATACCCTCACCCAGGCCTTGGCAGCTCACAAGACATTTAGTCTTATGAGCCCCACATGGAAAAAAGACATACTGGGCCTTATTGGCTAGCAGCCTATGTGTTCCACAACTGAGCAGAGCTCTGCTGCAAGGCAACACCATCTCTTGACTTTTACTTGTCCAGGAGCCCTTCCTCAAGGACAAAGTGCGGGTGTGTGGGTGTGAGGGAGGCAGGCAGGGTAAGCAGGGCATCAAGGGTGCACAGGTCATCCAGCTCATGACCTTTTAGGAACTCCTGGCACTGAAGTAACCTACTTTATGGTGGACATGGCCCAGGGACCCTCTCACATCCTCCAAGCTAGGCATTAAGTTAAAGCCGGGACCAGGCCCTGAATAGCTCTGAGGGCACACAGGCCTCTCGGGCTATAGAATTTCCATTCACAGGTGACCTACAGTTGGCACTGCACAGGGAGCAGGCAGCCTGGGAAGTCACCACCAGGAACGTTGAGTTAGGTCCTCGAGGGAATGGATGTGGGAAGGAGTGGGGGTCAAGAGCCCTGAGCCACCACTCCACCTCTAGGAACAAGAGGCCCTTTCTCCAGCGGGCGGAGGTGGCCATACACTGTGCCTTTGTGAAACGTCCTGGGCTGCTATCCTAGAGCTTGGAGTCCCCACAGTACCGACTCAGGATGGAAAGAAAGGACAGAGGTCAGGACGCCGAGTTTGGGGCAGTGGGCCCGGACAACAGCTAAAAGACAGCCAAGCCCTCCAGCAACCAGGACAACAGTCAGGACAGCAAGACAAAACATTTATTGCTCCACTAGGTAAATCAGGGGCCGATATGACATGGGAAGTTCTCCCAATGGCTGACTCCATGCAGCAGGAGCAGCTGCAGGGCAGCCCCGTGCCAATGTGATCTGGGCCCTGAGACTCCCTTGAACCTAGCTACATACCAGGAATGGACACCAGGCCCAAGGCGGCCCATGCAGCAGGTCTGTAGCCAGGCTCCTAGGCCATGGAGCACCTCAACCCTAGCTCCAACAGGGGCTTGACAGGTCACTGGAGGCAAAGACCTGTGCTGCTGGACTCCCTTTCCACAGGATGATGGCCCAGACAATGGCACATCAGGGATTCTGGGTACAAGTATGCTCACGCATGGCCTGTGAAACACTCAAGACTATGAGGTCACCTCCTTTGATCCCTAGGCCAGCCTGGTCCCTCCATCAGCCCTGGGGAAGTACAGGAGTTAAGGGCAGGATGAGGCTTTGCACAAAGCTCTGGCCCACCAGTGGCTAGAACCTTGGACCAGGGACAGGACAGGACAGTCCATTCCCCTGTAGGTCAGCCCAGGCTTCAGGGAGTGCCCAGAGCTGCCTCGGCCCTCAACTTGTACCATTTGGTCTCAACACCCAGGGGAGCCTATGGCAGAGGAAGCTTCATGTTGACAACAAAGAATGGCCAGGATGAGCAGTGATGAGGTGGAGGCTTCCCTCTCAGAAGATAGGAATGCCTCCCTGCTCAACAGGGCCAGCCTACTCACCCCCCTCAACTACCCAGGAGGCCCCTGCCCCACCCTGCCATCTATTTCTAAACACAAGCCCCACAGGCAGCGGCTGGCCATATAAGGTAGCCTCTGGCCTCCTTGTTTGCCTGTGATACTCCTGCCGAGGCCCACTATCCTGGAGTCTTCGTGGCAAAAGTCAGGTAGCCAGTGTGGCCCACAGTCTCCTTCATGGGTGTGCCACTACGGAAAGGGCTGGCATCAGAGCCCATGCTGACCTCTAAGTCACTTGCCCCCAGGTCAGGCAAGGGCAGACTGACGGTGCGTACATTGTAGACCTGTGGCAGCACCTCCAGGGTACTGAGCTCTGTGAAACCATGGGCTGCCAGTGCCTGGCATGTGCGCTGCACTTGCTCAATGCATGGAGAGAAGGAACAGAAGCGCCCACCTGTAGGAGCAAGACACGGGGTCAGAGGGCAGGGTCAATAGCACCCACAACCCGCCCCGGGCCTGAGGCTGGCTGCCAGGAGACTGTAAGCTGGTAAGCCAATGAGCTATGCAGGGGCCTTGGGAAGTTGTAAGGTTGTACCCTACCTGATGGCCCACACTGGGACAGGAGCCCAGGTCAGCAGCCAAGCCCAAACCCAAGGTGCCTGGGTTTTCCTAGCTGCCAGCAGGCATCGCCAGTCTGCCTTGTAGGAGGCAGCAGAGGGCTGGGGGTCAGGGCTGTCAGAGCCATGCCCAAGAATAGCTCTAACAATAGGGTAGCATGGGGCGGTGTGTGGGCTGCCGCTGTCACAGGAAATTAGAGGCTGTCGTTGGCTCTTGGGAACAGGAGGAGCCTAAAGAGAGCAGTCTGAGCTCCTCCTTGCTGCCTCCCACTGGGGAGGCCCACAGGCTTCATGCAGCCTGCCCAGAGACTGTGAGAGTGCCCTCTCCATATCCTGGCAGGGGATTATGAGCAGTCAGGGCAGGGAAGGAGTGTGTACAACTGTCCCTGGGCCTGGTACCCACAGCGCTCCCTGACACAGGACACCTGGCAGGTATGAAGTAGTAGGTGGCCTGATGTCAGTACAGAGCCCACTGACACTGAAGAGCAGAACACACCACATACTGCACTCCCGGAAGCCACCAGAGACAGGCCGTGTTAGCAAATACCAGACACACAAAAAAGGCACCTAAGCACCCAGAGCAGGAAGATCTGGGGACGAGCCCAGAAGAGGGCACATGGGACCAAAAACCAGGCACAGGTGCCTCTGGATGACTCTGCAAGGAGGCTAACCTGCCTGGACCTCAATGGGGCTCGACCAGCCAGGGCCCTGTGTCAGGGAACCTTCAGGTGTGGACCCCCAAGATTCTCTTCCCAGCTCTAAGCCACCTCAGCAGACACAAGGGACACAGGGATCTGGGCAGAGTTTGAGGCAGCAGGAGGGCCTGGGCTCCTGCCTGTCTGAGAGGCTCCCCCGCCCTCTGTACGGAGCTGGGAGGAGAGCAGCCCTGGCTGCCAAGCTGGCTTCTTCTCCAGAAAAGGCAAAATCCCCGGGACTCACTAGCAGCCTCTCTGGCTCAGGGCCGACCTTCTCCAGGCCTCCCTACTGCCCCGCCTCCACAGCGTCTTCCCTAAAAGGGTCCAGCTGCCTGGCTCTACAGCATGGGTGCTGGGAGTCGGCAGGAAACAGCTGGGGGTAGGGGGACTGCCTATGCCCTCCATATTGAATACAGGCCTGTCCTGTCAGGCAGATCTTATCTGCACTTGGATGGTGATGCCAAGGCCCTAGGGCCTCAGTGATTTCCTATCTTGGCCAAAGAATGGGACCCATCTTCCCAGAACCCTGGTCTCTATCCAGCCCGAGGCAGTCTTCACTTTGTACCAAAAGGAGTCCTGGCCTGGCTGTTGCTACTGTGAGGCCGACAGGAACCTGGGTCTCCCTGGGTTCCAGATGACCCAGAAGCTCAGCACACCCCACTCCCAACACCACTGACACACCTTCAACCTTGAGGGCATCCCAGGCATGGCCCACAGTTTCCCAGGGTGATGGAATATCCAAGAAGACAGCATCAGCCACGTGGGTGACACCGAAGCCACTGCGGCAAACATCCTGGGTGTGCACCGTCACCCACTGGCTCACACGATGCTCCTGGAACTCCTCCCGGGCCTTGTCTGCCCGCTGTTGGTGGAACTCCACAGTGTGTAGGTGGCCAGTGGGGGCGATGCTGCGGATGATGGCGTGGGAGACAGAACCACTGCCCGTGCCTGGCAGGACGAGAGGAGAGGGTTGCAGGGTCATCTGAGGGCCCACAGGCACCCATAAACAGCTCCCTCTTTGCAGCCTAAGGATACAGCTGACCCCAGGGTCACAGGTGGGTGCCACAGCACAAGCTGCACATCTGTTCTGTGCGGCCTCAGCCCTGGGTTTGGGATGCTGGACTGTACAGTGTGGGCTCAGGAGAGGATGGGGCAGCCCTACCCAGTGTGCACACAGAGCAAGTTGGAAGCCCAGATGGGCTAACACAGGTGAGTCTGGGCAGGGCTAATGCTGGCCTGTTCTATCCTGACCTCGCCTCTTCTAAACTACGGTCAACCCATGGTTTCGCTGACAGCTGTCTACCTTAGTTTCTACCTCCTCTCATGAGTTCCTAGACTCAGGTCAGTGCATCCTCCCCAACCCCACCAAATCCACCCCCACTACACAGGGGCCATCCTATCTGCTTCTGCCTGAAGTTAGGTGACCTAAAGCCAACCTGCTCCACCCTCCTGTCAAAAAGCCTCCACTCAGTTGGACTGTGGTGCACGCCCTTAATCCCAGGCTTAGGGTGGGGTGGCAGGGGCAGACGCAGGCAGATCTTCATGAGTTCAAGGCCAGCCTGGCCTACAGAGTGAGTTCCAGGACAGCTAGGGCTACACAGAGAAACCCTGTCTCAAGAAAAAAAAACAAAAAACAAAAAACCCTCCACTCTAATAAGCAGGGCTACCCTTCTTCACCTGACTTTTATACTCCAGGACCTGGGCTAGCCTGTCACCATTTATCCCATACCTGCCCCTGCCACAGCTCCAAGTACGCTTCTAGCTGTATGTTTGCCCTCTTTTTTTTTTTTTTTTTTTTTTTTGGTTTTTCGAGACAGGGTTTCTCTGTGTTGCTTTGGAGCCTATCCTGGCACTCGCTCTGGAGACCAGGCTGGCCTCGAACTCACAGAGATCCGCCTGCCTCTGCTTCCTGAGTGCTGGGATTAAAGGCGTGCGCCACCAACGCCTGGCTTCTCTCTCTCTCTCTTTTTAAAAAAGATTTTATTTGTTTATTATGTATACAACATTCTGCTTCCATGTATATCTGCACACCAGCAGAGGGCACCAGATCTCATTCAAGGTGGTTGTGAGCCACCATGTGGTTGCTGGGAATTGAACTCAGGACCTCTGGAAGAGCAGTCAGTGCTCTTAACCTCTGAGCCATCTCTCCAGTGCCCGTTTGCCCTCTTAACCCCACTGTAGCCACTGTGGCAGTGCTCTTATGACAAAGCTGGGCTCCTCCCAAGTCTAATCACTCCAAGACCCAGGGTTGACCCGCACTGCAGGGGCCAGACTCCAGCCACCCACCATAAAAAGACCCTCTCGGCTATGGCACCTCCAATCGCCATTGATTGCTCCCTCCCATCTCTGGGCCTCATCCCCCAGGTCCCTCCCTCTATGTTATCTGCTGACGCTTGTCCTTCCTCTGTTCTTCTCACCACTGTCAATCAGCTCTACTCTCTGCGCAGAGGTGACGCTTGCCTTCCCATCCAAGGGAGACTCCAGACTCCTGACAGCCCTGTGAGGGGTGCTCCTCTTGCCTCCTTTGTCCTCACTTTCTGCTCCAGCCACAGAGGTCTTCTTCCCAGTGTGCACCAGCATCGTACTCCTACCTCTGAGCATTTGCACAGCTCTTCTTTGGCTTTTGTTAGTACCTCATCATTTGTAACTCAAAGGTCACCTCAGATCCCTGACTTCCTGAGTTTGGGAGATCCCACTAAGTCACCCTCAAGGGAGCATTCCTGGTTATAAGCTTCTTACCCACCGTCAGTTTCACTGCCTGTTCTGTCTTTTTTTTTTTTTTTTTTTGGTTTTTCAAGACAGGATTTCTCTGTAGCTTTGGAGTTTGTCCTGGAACTCAATTTGTAGACCAGGCTGGCCTTGAACTCACAGAGATCCACCAGCCTCTGCCTCCTGAGTGCTGGGATTAAAGGCGTGCACCACCAATGACAGGCATGTCCTGTCTTTTGAGAGCAGGCACTTGGTACCACATGGGAGCAAAGGAATGTGTTGACTGAAAAGGGGATGAGGGCTGAAAGAGGATGGTGCCTACTGCAGGACATGGAGAGTTGTTAGGGCTGGCTCTGAATTCTGCTGTCTGCTGTTTCCCTCTGAAGGGAAAGAAAGCAAGCAACAGGGAGATCGGGAACTCAAGACTCTGAACCCGTTTTCATAGCCCACCACAAAAATGCCACCAAGGTGCCAGGCGGTGGCAGCATACGCCTTTAATATCCCAGCATTCAGGAGGCAGAAGCAGGCAGATCTCTGTGAGTTTGAGGCCAGCCTGGTGTGCAAAGTGAGTTCCAGGACAACCTCCAAAGCCACAGAGAAACCCTGTCTCAAAAAACCAAAAACCAAAACAACCAACCAACAAACAAAAAACAGGACACAAAGGATGTAGCCACATCTGGTCCAGGAATCATTCTTGTTGAAGAGACATGTCTAGATTGCTGCACGGAGGGGCCACAGTATCCAGGGGCGTATATGAGAGGAAACAGCTCCCAGGCACTTCTATCAACCCCCTGGAACAGAGTTGAGGGCCTGGCTGTGAATGGGTGTGTGCAGAATTTTCACTACAATGAGCTCTTGGGGTAATGAACCTCCCTCCAGGAAGGGACAGCTGGCCTAGAGATGAGTGGTCAGCACCTTGGCCAGCACCAAGCAAGCCAAGACCCCCCACAAGGCACCACCGCGGCCTCCTCTTCCTTCTCCGGCCTCCTCTTCCTTCTCCGACCCAGGACAGTCCCCACCAGATGTCACTTCTCTGCTCTGTCTTTACTCCTGCAACCACACCCTCCCCACCAAGTAGAGAACAGAAAGCAAGTAATTCAGCACACATCTGCAGGAAGGGCTAGCTGCAAACTAACAGTCTTAACTGTGGTAGGTCTGACTCCCACTTTGATGTAGGTGCTCAGCTCTCAAGACACCAGAGGAGCTCACCTGACTCACAGACCACAGAACCGGGTCGCAGCTCCAGCATCATGGTGATTAAGGCAATGTCGGTGGAGTAGAGGATCTGTGTGCGGTGGGGCAGGTTCACAGTCCAGAGCTCAGGAGTGGGGTGAAGCACGTACACCCAGCCGCCTCTGCTGCAGATCACCTTGGAGCCAAATGGGCGGCCAATGAGGTCCACCGAGTGCCGCAGGACGCCATGCCGGGTCTGGGTCTGTGCCCCACGCTGCACACGCACTGCCATCATCGAGCCATGGCCCAGCGACAGGATGGCTGTATCGCCTTCCTTGATCAGCTCCTCGTAGGCCACGAAGCTCATGGTGCTAGCATCTACCAAGCGTCCGGGACCTGGGGAAGGGGCGTGTGAGCGTGAGGCAGGGCCAGGAGGTGGGATGAGGGTCTGCGGTCTGGGTAGAGAGGTCTGCGGGGCCTGGGTTCTGGCCAGTGTGGGTGCGGGCAGCTGACGTGGTCGGCCACCCAACAGAGCTGCACTCTAGCCTGACATGCGGAGCCCTTTTAGAGGACGGACACGTATGGGAGGACACACGGATTCTCCCCAGCTGAGGCGGAGGCCCCGGAGAGGCCAGCAGAGGCGCCAGCTCGCCGACCTGCAAGCCGGGATTCCGCGGCGCCCTTGCCAGGGTGCCCGGGAGGAACAGCCCGGGACCTGCAGGCTAGCCCGGAGCGCCTCTCGCGCCCTAGCCGCTTAATCCAAGCTCGGAGACTCACCCGGCCGCTGCCGGCTCTCTGCTCCACACGTGGCTCCGCAGCGGCGGCCGCACTTCCGGTGCTTTTTGATGACGCCAACGCCAGCGCGGGGATCGCCGGGAGCCTCTGCGCTGTCCTCTGCGCGCCCCCAGAGGACGTTTCCTGGCTCCGTCCGTGCCCGCGCCCGGGGCGGCCTGAGACGTGCGAGCCCTGTGCAGAATCAAAGTCCCCCCCTCGCCAGCGGCGTGTCCGTCCGCGTGCTGCCCTTCGGGGCTCCCGCCCTACCGCGCATTTGACAGCTGTGCAGGCCCAGGCCTCCCTGCGAGGCCACCGGGACGTTTGGTTTTTGCAAACACCCTGCCTGAGCTCCAGGACGAATCCTAGAAAGTGGAGCCCGAGAGCAGAGGCAGGGCGCCCAAAGGCTTTGCCAGGGCCGGGCCAAGCATAAGGAGCAGGGCTGGCCTGGAATAGTCTGCCAAAGTGACCCCAGGCCGGGTCCTGCCCGAGGGGGCAGGGTGGGGGAGGAACTGCTGGAGACAGGCAGAAAGAAAGGGGAAGCTGGAGCGGGTGTTGTGTCTCAGCAGAGCTGATTCAGAGCCCCCATGGGCTCCTCGTGAAGAAGGAAGGTTGTTCCCCGGAGTGGAGCGTGTGCAGGGGAGAGGGGAGGAGGGATGGGAGGGGAGAGCGAAGCCTTTCTGTAGTCCTCAGCTGTGGGCATGAGGCTTCAGCTATCCACAGAGCAGCAGGGAGCACCTCCAGGCTGCACTCTGCAGCCACCGGGCTACTGTAGCCTGGTAAAAAATGGGGGTGGCCCAGCGCCACGAGCATGCCTTTTCTAGAGTCCTGCTGGCCTGTGGGGATCCTCTGGGGCCAGACTAGCCAGCATGTGTGAAGTCCTTGCCCTAGAAACCCAGGTGCCTGACATTAGGCCGCTTCAGGTCTCTGCCCTGACTGGCCTTGATCCGGTAGCTTGGGAGGATGCACAATGAGGCTTTTCTGGATTCCCATGCTGTGGAGTCACAGCTTTTAGCTGAGACATCCCAGCCCTGTCCTTGACTCGGCAACCTGTGTTCTGGCAGGCTACTTCACTCCCTTGATGGTGCACGGCCCAGTCCACACCCTAATTGCTTCTCCAGAGGGTTAGACTTCCCACTTCTCCTGGGAGCTTCCTCTTCCCCCAGCCTCTCAGCGGCATGGAGACCAGGCCCGATTGTGGCTCTACCCAGCCCATGAATGAGCTCAACAGGGGTTTTCCCTTAGTCCCAGCTGTCCACTGCTGGCTTGCCTGTCCCTCCCGTGTCCCTTCTCCAGTCTACCTTCTCAAAGCTAGTCATCTGCCATGACTAGCCTCAGCCTCCCTGAGAGCCTAGCTGGTGTGTGCGGCGGGGGGAGGGGCTTCCCAGGTTCTCCTAATAAGAACAGACGATGCTACATGTATCCAGCTAACTGTCGTGTCACTGAATCCTACCCTACAATCTATGATCACTTCATAGATGGGGAATAGAAGGTTCATTTGCCTAATGTCATACACACAACAAGGTTCAAACAGGATTGAATTTTGTCTTTGAGACAGTTTCCCTATGGAGCCTTGGCTGGCCTGGAACTCACATGCTGGCCTCATACTGGGAGACATCTGCCTTCCTCTCCCTACCAAATACTGGGATTAAAGGAGTGTGTCACCATGACCTCTGGGATTGGAATTTAAAGGCTAGCTTCAGGGAACTTGAAGGAAGGAGCAGGAATAGAGGCAGGCTGGAGGTAAGGAACCTGAAGATGCCTTTGAGGGAGGCTGCTCTGCCTGCGCCTCTGGCAGGGTCTGGGTTGCCAAGAGTTCCCTCTGAGCCAGGTGGTGGTGGCGCACGCTTTTAATCTCAGTGCTTGGGAGGCAGAGGCAGGTAGTTCTCCAAGTTTGAGGCCAGCCTGGTCTATAAAGCGAGTTTCAGAACAGCCAGAAATGTTACACAGAGAAAGCCTGTCTCAGCCTCCTGTTTCGCTGTGTCCTCCTGACTCTCGCCAATTTCCTCTTTGTATTCCATGAGCAAATGAGCAGAGATGAAGCAATGCCCCTCCGCGCAGATTAAGAATGGTCTCTGGAACCTAGAGCCTGGCCCTGTCTGTGCCAGCACTTGAACCATGCTCTGTGAATAAAAGACTTGGGACTCCTTTGAGGCCACTTCCAGGCCCTGTGGTTAATGTATAACTTGGTGTGATTACTTGGTGTGATTTCTACGGAGATGGAACCATAAATCTCCTGAATGATGTCACCCAGCTCCTTTCCCGAAAGCTGCCAAACCAGCTACTATGATTCTCAAGGAGAGCAGAGGGTTGTCCAGAGTCAGGTCTTGGCTGGATTAGCCCTCACCTTGTTCCCTTGCTCTGAGGGTCTCCAGAACTTCCAAGCAACACCCTCACGTACAGCGGGGGCCTCACACTGATATTGTGATCTGAAGGCTGTGAAGGTCCCTTCATCTATCTGCCCTGCTGTCATCTCTACTACAGCTGTGTAGCCACACTGCTCTGTGAGTCTGCACAGTACCACAAGGGCAGGCACCCTAGGACCATTGGGGGATACTTGGGCCTGAGCCAGCACTTCTTTGTCTCAACAGCCAATCTTCCTTTCTGTTTCTGTAGTGGAATGGCAGAGAGACTAAAGGCCACAGGGGCCTGTTGCAGGGCTGGGTGTGGCTCACTGCTGGTGTGGACAGCCCTGCAGTCCTGCCTTCTGTACCTCAGCTTTACTAGAGTCCTGGCCTTGTCCATGCAGGGAGATGGAGGGGGGAGGGGGGTAAGGTAGGAGGCTGAGCAACTGTAAATGATGGCAACAAAGAGGAAGCCCTGAGCCCCCTTCCCCCACCCTGGACACCACATTTGCTTCCTCTCTATTTCTACAAACAGAAACTTGAGCACTCGGGGCTCAAGCAGATCCAGCTTCCCTGACATCGGTAGGTACTGGGTCGGCAGCTGCAGACATTTCTGAGAGGGGCTGAAGGGCATAGAATACAGGAATTACAGGCTTATGGCACACCTGCTGTCTAGCCAATGGATTTTTTTTGAGACAGGAGCTCATGGAGCCCAGGCTGGCTTTGAACTACAGATCTTCCTGTCTCCACCCCATCCCCACGTGCTGGTCCTTATCACCACCACACCCATGCTTGTCTCCACATATTTTTTGTCCCAGAACTCACTGTGTTGACTCTGCTGGCCTTAACTCACAGAAATCCACATGCTTCTACTTCCTGAGTGCTGAGATTAAAGGAGCTGGGCACCACCATGCCCAGAACATACCTTCTTCTTTTTTTTTTCAAGACAGGGTTTCTCTGTGTAGCTTTGAAGCCTGTCCTGGAACTCGCCCTGGAGACCAGGCTGGCCTTGACCTCACAGAGATCCGCCTGCCTCTGCCTCCCAAGTGCTGGGATTAAAGGCGTGCAACACCAACGCCTGGCTAGCTATGTTGTTTGTTTGTTTTTTGTTTTTTTGTTTTCAAGATAGGGTTTCTCTGTATTGCTTTAGAGGCTGTCCTGGAACTCGCTATGTAGACCAGGCCTAGTCTCGAACTTCCAGAGATCCACCTGCCTCTGCCTCCCAAGTGCTGGGATTAAAGGTGTGCGCCACAAATGCCCAGCACACATACCTTCTTATATGGAGTTTTTTCTTTTTTCTTTTTTCTTTTTTTTTTGGTTTTTCGAGACAGGGTTTCTCTGTGGCTTTGGAGGCTGTCCTTGAACTAGCTCTTGTAGACCAGGCTGACCTTGAACTCACAGAGATCCGCCTGCCTCTGTCTCCGGAGTGCTGGGATTAAAGGCGTGCACCACCAACGCCCAGCCTTACAGGGAGTTTTATTTGGCCTAAAAATAGTGACTTGATCTGGGTGTGGTAGTTCAACCCTATAACACCATAACTGGGGAGCTGAGACAGGAGAAGCCTGGTTTGCAGGCTCTTGTCTCAAAACAGAAGCGGTCCAAGCTGGCCAAGGCGAGTGAGAGAACAGGTGGAGTCCCCGAGTGGCTCTGAGGAGAGAGTACAGCCCCACCGCAGCTTGGCTTTCCACGCTTGCCCAGACAGAGGCGGGCAGGGCCGCGAGTTCTTTGCTCCAGAGCCTTCTGCTGAAGCACCTGCACATTCTCTCAAGCCTGGAATTCCCTCATCCCTCCCTCATTCCTCATTTGCTCGGGGCAGCCCGCCTCCAGCAGAAAGGCAGTGATCCTGTGCCCCGTGCGCATTGCATCTGGGTACCTGGGCTGGCTCATTGTGAAAGGAGCGAGGAATTCTGTCAAACAAATGCATCAGGATAAGAAGTTCTCTGGTTCTTGCTTTATTTGTGCAGCCGCGAGTGAGTGAGGGCTCACTCGCCCCATAAAGCCCCATAAAGCTCACGTCTGCTGTCTGCTTTTTACCCACGGCACCATCCACCACCATTCTGCGCCCTTTCTACCAACGGCCAGTGTCCTCCCCATCTCACAGATGAGCTTCAGGTCCCATGCGACCGTCTCTCTCCCACTGCACATTTACAGATCTGTTGGCAGAGAAGGGACACTGTCCTTTCTACAGGCTGGATTCCTAGAATTCCTGCGATTGTTAGGTCATGGAGTTAGACCATTTTTTTATTTTAATAAATACTGCCAAATTACTTTCCAGAAAAGATGGAGTGGCTGGCAGCTGCAGGCGGGGTGCAAACGCCTGTCTTCACACATTCCAATTTACAGTTGGCACTGTCTGGGGTCAGTCTTCTACAATTTCCCACACCTGGGTGTGTGGGGCTGGGGGACAGAGACTGTTTGAGCGTGCTGGTACCCAATGGCGAGCTTAGTTTTGGCTGATGCTTTCTCCACTCCCAGTTTGCCTGCTGACTGTAGGTGCTGTCTTTGTGGGTGGAGTGGTAGGAACCGCTCCCTGAGGAAAGGGCCAGGGAATGGAGGTTTGGATACTCGAAAACAGCCCCTCAGAGCTCACTGACTTGAATCTTTCAGGGTTTGGGTCCAAGGGTGTTGGCTCGGTTCCTTAGATCCCGCCCAATGTCAGAACACCCTGGGTGCTTCGGGGCTGGACCACAGCCAGACTGCGCCTCTGGTGCTGCACAAAGAACACCCAGGAGATGCCCGCGGGCACCTTGAGGAAGGTCAGTGGCTCTGTGCCATTTCGTACGGCCTGGATGCAGTGGGTGGACACCGGTCCCTAATGTTAAAGACCTGGAAGCCCTCAACAGGCCCCCTAGCCACCGCGGTCTGCCAGACAAGGCAGGAGGAGGGGAAGGCAGGAGCCCCAGTACCAGCTGGCTTTCCAGACTCAGTTTCCCGCCCCGAGGCAGTGTGTATGAGGAAGGTCCAGGATAGTAAGGGATTGGGCCTTCGTTATCCTGTGCCAGCGCCGCGGGGATAGCTTAGCTGCCCGGGGTCCAGACTCGGGGATCGCTGGGGTGGGCGGCTAGGGGATATCGAGGGCTGCTGCCAGGGACAAAGCAGCGGCACCACCCCAAAGCACAGGACAATGGAATGAATGGGC